AACAGTGGGTTTAGTGCCTAAACCTCTGGCAAGATTCTGCAGTATATAGAGTGAATCAACGGCTGAATTTATGAGTTCACAAACCAGCACTCCATTAGGGAGCATTTACTTTTACCTTTAAAACGCAAGAGCTTTAAAGTTTGGGTACTGCTAAGCCGTAAAAGCACCAGTGAGTACACTGTTGTCTCTCTTCGCATAATTGTTTAACAATTCTTGTCTTTCAGGTCAGATGCTAACTGATTGAAAAAGCATTATGAGATCTTTAAGTTAGTATAGCCTTGTAGATCGTGAAAATATATTTTTGAATTAGTAAGTGGCTAAAGATTAGGGAGGATCTCTAGTCAAGTAGAAAAAAAGGGTAAATAGGAGTATACTCCTCTGGAGATGGTCGGGTGGGTAGGCAATGTATTTGGTTAATGCAGAAAAAGAAACATTTAGAGGGTTATTCACAAAGCTAGCCAAGGATCAGCCGTAGCTTCGGCCGCTGATCCGAAGGGCTGCTTTACGGGCTATTCACTATAGCCCGTACAGCTCCCGAGGCATATGCTTTGGCTCGACTGAGCCGCTCGGCCAGCCTCGGGAGCTGTACGGGCTATAGTGAATAGCCCCCATCCGTATGTGTCGGGGAGGGGAGAGCACCCCCTTGAAATGATTGCAGATAGCACAGGAAGCAATAGCTTCTTTGCTATCTGCTGTTTTATTTTTTAGTATTCTGTCAGCTGCTCCCGTCAGATTTAAAGAAAAAAAAACTAGCATAGGAATGAATAGCTAGATTGCTATTGGCTAGTTCAATTTGCAATATCCAATAGCAAGCTGGCTATTGCACCCGTCCTCTGCTGCTGTTAATCACTAGAAGAGGACCTGATGGAGAACTTCAGGTCCCCCTCTGCTGATTGACAGCAGCAGTGGGCGGGTACAATAGCTAGTCTGCTATTGGCTATTGCAAAGTGAAATAGCCAATACCAATCTAGCTTTGCATTCCTGTGGTGGGTTTTTTTTTTTCTGACTGACGGCGGCTGGCGGTCGCGATGTCAGAAAAATGGTGCTTGCAGTGATACTCACGGATGGCGCACATCAAACAGCAAATGAACAGGAATCACCAGCACTCAGTGGAAAATATTCAAACAATAAAGTCCATTTAATCATCATACATGTTGCAATAATTATTATTATTATTATTATTAATAATTATTGCAACATGTATGATGATTTGTCCGATTAAATGGACTTTATCGTTTGAATATTTTCCACTGAGTGCTGGTGGTTCCTGTTCATTTGCTATATTTAAAGGAAGATATTTGTGTCCCATGTTCAGCTATAATGGCCTCACAGCGGAAAATCCTATGGTGTCAGACACTGTTAAAAAAAATATGAATGTGGACTGTTCATCTACCGGAGACTATTGGATGTAAATAATTGGGGCAGAGCACAGGGGAAATGTTGATCTACATTGTACAGTAAGGTTGAGCAACCCATTGGCTTTCAGTTCACTGAAGTCAGATCAATAATGCAAATTCAAACAGGATGCCATGGGTTGCATCTTGCTCATTTTGTTACTGAATACATTTGCTGGTATTTTTAAACGTAAAGGCTACAAAACCACTTGAAATACTTAAGAAACTTTGAGCTGTTTTACCTGTCAAACTATCTGCTCAGTCAGCTCTGTAATACATGAGACCTGCTTGACAACATACCCAGGTTGGTGACCTTACTTTTTTTTCCACCGCAGTTAGGCAATACAGTTTAGTCCTTCCCTCCCCTCTGCCCAGCCTGCTGACTGGACAATAATCACCACACTGATAAAGTCATCACTCTTTTCGCACTAGCATCTGTTGTAGTGTCAATTCACACCAGGGTGATCCACTGGCCCGGTGCTTCTGAACCAGACATGCCCACTGCACCTGCCACTACCTTGCGGGTGCATTGGGGTGCCATTCACAATGAATGGCATTGCAGTGCACTAATGCACTGTTGTGAATCAACCCTTATATTGACAGCATTTTGCAACAGAGCCTGACTGGGTCATAGTGCTGCACTCTCCCATCCCTTTACAATCTACAGTGTGAGAGAATTAAGGGAAGCTTATATAAAGCAAGATTTGAGTATTTATTTATACTATGTTAAAAATAAATGTCATATTTGTCTAGAAATACATTTCTGGGTTTCTTGGTGTTTTTGTAATCAGCCTAGAGTTCAGAGTATACAAAGCTCCATTTTGTTTTGACGTGATAGTGTAATGGTCAACACAGCAATTGCTCAGTGCACAGTGCATGTGCAGCTGGAATGAATAATCCAGATTGTGGACTGGAATATCACTACTTACTTAATTCAGACAACAGAGACATTAACAATAAAGAGGACAGTATGAGACCTTTATAGAGGATGGATCGTGTCATTGGCAATGCTAAGGTGAACGCAGCTTTCGCATGTTTATTAACCAACAGAATTCCACCCAACGCAGAAGCTTTTAAGGGTCATTTAAAATAATACGGCCCAGGGCAACAATTCATTTTACTGTAAACACTGGGCATTGAAATTTATAATACATAATTTATAAGGACAAAGATACAACAGTCAGATTGAATTATTCTGAATGCTTCCAGCTCTAACAACAGAATTGTAAAAGACATGATCGGAAAAGAAAAATCAACATTTCTAAACACCGGCGAACAATAATACGGCTTTGAACTGCAAGCGAAATAATACAATTTGGGATTAAAGTGAAATTACAGCTTTTACTGTGTTTTTTTTAAACAAAAGAGAAGTATCAATCACAGGAAATGAAGGGGTATTAATACTGCCACTTAGAGGGAAAATAGATATGTACAACTCCAGAGTTCAACTAAGTACACTCCTACCACAGTGCACAAACAACAAATATTAACAGTTTGCTTTGGTGTTCCCCTGGTACAAGGGAGATTTATATTAACTATAACATTTCCTATTAAACAAAAAATTTGAGATACCCTCATGGGCTGTTGAGCCCCGGAAAAAAATTGCAGAAAAATGTTCTTCACAGAATTTACTAAAAATACCTTTTTAATGTGTAGCCCCCATCACCTTCTGTGATGTGGCTACTAGACATTTAGTGGTAGCCAGGGCTGTAGTCAGCCTGGCTGGAATTATAGTGGCAGTGTGACTCTGTCATATTGTGGGACAGCCAATGAGAGACACTGTAGTGTATGTACAGTACAGCAGCCAATCACTGGGTTTCTCTCAACCAGTGGTGTATGCTGGGATAGGGTACATATACTGGAGGGATTTGCCTTGTGCTGAGACTAGCCGGGACCAGCCATGGAATAGGGCTGGGTGCTGTTCAGGGCTGGGTGGGCATATGCTGGTGTGAGGGAAAGATTTCCTTCAGGCATCCAACATGGAGGATGTCTGTGTTGCTGTTAGAGGAAGAATCAATTATGGCTCCTGAAGTATCCTAGAACTCAGAGGTGTCTTTCTTGTTGAGGATCTGTGTTCATCTTGCTCATCTGCTATTTCAGTTGCTGTCCGCTACCTCCCAAGTTGATCTACGCTGATCTGCTAACCAGGTCTAATGAGTCTCTTGTCAGTTACCTCTGGAAGCTTAGAATCCCCATATCCTCTCTCCCCAGTGAAGATGTTCAATAAACCGTTACTTTGCATTATACTACTGGAGTGGACATCAGTCTGTGGGCACTAGAAGAAGGGCGGTTAATGCTAATGGGTGGGCAGCTGAAGATCATACCCTAGACAGATTAGAGATGAACCGGGCATTCAGTGGCTCCTTCGGGGGTGAGTGCTACAAATGTAAAATTGAACATCTGCACCCAGACTGGAAGTGGGTAGCACTTGGGCCAATCAGGGGCCCTACATACATGTGTTGGGACAAGGAACTTGCTGATGAAAGCAGAGAGCGGAGAATGACCTCATTAGCTTGTTGCTGTTCCTCACAGGTCAAGGGCAGGGAGGTGATCTAGCTGTGCTGCTTACAGCAGAAAAATTCAGCTCATTTTGTCTGTCTGTGCTGTCTGGTAGGCCTGTGTAGATCTCAGGAGTGGGTGGACAGGAATGCAAATCCTTTGTCAGGCAAATCAGCTCCCATATACTGTATGTGTTTAAAGTGTGTATTTAACTGTTGGCCTGGGGTCCACCTATTTCTGCCTTCCAGCCATGATCAGCTGCCTCTTTTATCGCCAGGCCACAATCAGCTCCTGGTCTGCTTTTTCTTTTTCTGACTATATATCCATAATAAGCTCCCTCTTTCTATAATAACCTCTCCCTTCTGTCCATGACAAGTGTCTGCCCTGCATCGTCTTCAAATGGTACACAAACAACTTCTTCTCTTATTTCTACCCGATCTCTCTGTCACAAACTCCTCTTACTCTTCCATAACCACAAACATCTTTCCCTCTGCCTACCTGACCAAGATCACGTCTCACTCTGCCTATTTTCTCAATCCTCTATCCATAATCAGCCTTCTCTATCCTCTATCTGTTCTCCTTCTCCCTCTGCTTGTAAGGAAGACAGCACTGTACTGGTAGTGGAACTGATAGTAGCAGTGATCTTAGTAAATCAGGCCTTAATATTTCCTACAAACATGCAACAAATGTCATCTCAAACACCAATTGGAAATATAGACTGGGTTGGCGTTTTTCAACTGAACTAGATTTTCTTTTAACCAGAGAATGGATACCACATTAGAGGGCAGTTTAGAAGTTATGGCCAATATATATTTGAGAAAAGTTTGGAATTAAGCACAATCTAGTCTGTGAACAGCCATGATCCATGTCAGGTTGGCCTCAAACTACACAAGAACAAGAGAATATGAGCTGGGGAGAAGCTCATTACAAGTTGATGATAGCGGTAAATCTGAATCCATCTTATCTTTTAACTATGAAGAGATTCAAAAAGGTAAATCCTCTGGTAGACCAGAAAACCATTTAAAAAGGATAAAAACATGTATATTTTCTTTGTACAATTAATAGTTCTAAGAGAATCCAAAGATCCAGTGTTCAGAATGGACTCACCATGACAGAGATGTGCAATATCCTGAGTTCTTCTTCAGCTGCCTCGCCTTGAGGTTCCTCTGTGGCTTCATGTCCTGGCAGCTTTGATGCTCCATCCTGGTGGTGAATATGGAAGAGGAGCGTTCCGTTCTCAAGCCACTGCTGTCTCCAGCGGACCAGGGGGATGTCATCTGTGTTCCCTGCGATTTCTGGAAGGAAAAGTAAGAGAAGGATTGAGGAACAAACTATAGATACTAAGGAATGCTACAGATTCTCTTAGAAGGGTGACAATAGATGAATGGGGCATGGGTTTCCATGAGATGACCTTTGATAAAGCTATTAAAGACACAAGAGTTATCACTTAAGACTTCAGATGGCCAACAGTGCTCAGTGAGGTATGATGAGCACAGGTCAGCTTTTAAAAAATAACTCTCATCTCTCAATGGCTACGTTCTCACTCTATGTAGATGAATGTTGACTATTTCCAAAACTGTCAGCCGGGACAGCTTACAGAAGTTCTCTGTTTGCATCAGAAAGGCAAAACCTTTGTAGAGAAGAACAGCAGAAAGTATTTAGACACACTGTTCATGCCTCTTCTTTAAAGTGCAACTGAAGCCAAAAGTGCAAAGGAACACCTGTCGGGTTTTTATTGCTGTACTGTGTCCCTGTTAGAGAGATTCACCCTCTCTATTTGTCCTGATGACTGTTATAGTTAAAAGTGAAAGAAAATGCTAAAATTTGGGTTGTCATCAGCGCAGCAATAGATGGGAAATCTTCCAATGGGGAAGTTCTAGTGACCCTGATGACCACCAGGGATCTCCCTCACTTCCTGTTTTGGCTATTGGACGGGGAACTTAAGGAAATTCTCCCCAATGGGACACAGATGGCAAAAAAGCTGACAGGGGTTATAACCCTCCGTTATTCTATCCAAAACTAAAAACAAAAAAATGGCTTCAATTCTACTTTACAGGTACCCTGCAGCCATCTGAGAATTTGAACTCACCTTGTATGTGACCAGCATGTTAGTCTGCTTTTAGACTGAATAAATACAACACACTATTAACCTCCCTGGCTGTATTCCCGGGTGTGGCTCGGGGTTAACTTTCAGTACCAGGAGCGTTAACCCTGAGCCACACTCGGGATTGCGCAAAAGTGTCACTTACCTTGTCCCCGCGAGCCTGCGGTGTCCTCTGCTGTGTTCGCCAAAAAACAATGTACCGCTTTGGCATGCTAAAATCCTCCATAATCATATGGCCAGGGAAGTTAAGCTTGTCTTGTAATGATTTTAACCCCTTCGTGATGGGAGACGTACACTGTACGTCCCGCCACGAAGTGCCTATATGACTGGCCATGTACAGTGTACGTGACAAGTTATTTGCGGCTCTGTAATGCTGGTAACCGCTGTTTCTCAGTGGTTACCAGTCATTAATGAATTCCTCAGTATTGATTGATTCATTAATAAAATAGTTGAGCTTTTTTAAAAGCTTCTTTCTTTCATTAATGAAAGAATTAAGCCATTACACATACAAATACCGGATCGCTAAATAGTGATCCGGTATTTGACAGCTGAAGATAGCAGAGAGGTAGCAGAGTGAATCACCTCTCTGCTATTCGTTTCGACAGCTCCATAGATGTCTGTAAAGCTGTATGATACATTTCAGGCACAATGTTACAATGTATCTCTGTGCCTGAAATGTATCACTTCTGATTGTCTGGGCAGGATCAGAAACTTTTAGGCTGGGTTCACACCTGAGCGTATTTTTTTAGCTCTTTTTTTTTGCGTTTTTTAGCACGTTTTTCCGTTCAGTGAAACGTGCGTTTCACTGGTGGTATGATTTTTTTTCCCTTTATTTTCTCTATTTTAAAAAAAAAATGTAAGTCTTCCTTTTAAACTTCCCGCCGGCTCCGCCCCCCTGCGACGCGACTTGGTAATACCAATGGAAACGGGCGTCAAAACGCCCAAATAAGCTCCTGTACTTCTTTGGGCGTAGGGCATTTTGCAGCACGTTCCTGAAATACGCCCAGGTGGGAACCATGCCCATAGGCAATCATTGGTTTTCACATGTTAAGCGTTTTACAGCACGTAGGAACGCGCTGTAAAACGCCCAGGTGTGAACCATGCCTTAGTGAGATCTGATTCTGACATGCTGTTAGGATCAGTCTCTAAGGTTATTTTTAGCTATTCCTAAGTTTGGAGCAGCCTAATAATAACCAAAAATTTTAAATGTTCATTCATCAAGGAATCATAGTGACTGCTTAATATAAACTGACAAAAAAGTGTAACAAATTAAGAAAATAAAAATTATATATACATATATTTTCTATAATATAATTATTATAAAAAATTTCTAAAAAAAATAACAATAATCAAAACTTGTGAAAAAAGTGTTTTCATTACATTTTTTCCTAATTTTTAAAAACATTTTATTCAAACTAAGTGAGGCGTTAGGTACACATTCTTGATATAATAATATAGCCCTATCTGTCCTCTAAAAAACAATATATAATATGTGTGGTTACATTTAGTAAGAAAGCATATCACAGCCGTGGAAGAATCACACAGCAAAAATGTAAAAGGTGTGTCAGTCATTTATGAACAGAAACTGAAAACAAGCTCAGTCATGAAGGGGTTAATCAAAACAGTTGATTTTATTTAGATTGCCACCACAGCAAAACAATCTACAAGCCTGCATGTGGAATACCATCAAAAAATACAGCACATTATATATTTAACAAGTGAAAGTCTCATCAGAGATAAGTTTTAGGTAAATGTTAACATAGTGACTCAGTATCAGAAGCCACTGAAAATACGCAATAGTGTAGAATGCTTTGGGATATATACGGTAAATGAGGTCAGCAGATCTGTTTATGTACTGACAGCCTGAAGTGAATAGCCGAACAGTGTTCGGCTCACTTCACTTCTGATCGGTCATTCACTCGGCTGCCCTCGGCAGCTTTGTGAATAGACCCCTATGTGTTTTTGCAGTGAGTGTTTGTGTTCCATGAAAGATATCTTATAGAAGTTTTGCTTTAATAAACACTGAGGTTTTGTGTGCCCTCTACTATAAAAGTATGTGGGTCCCAGAATATTTCGCTTCAAGATTATTTTTGTGCCATGAGCTGGCTAGAGCAGCAATTTTCTTTTTACAAGCTGTAGAACATCTGGATATCACACTTTTTTTATAGTCATTTTGCCCACAGAAATATTTAACCCTGAGGCTCTCTAATGATCAAAACAGCTTCTAGTCTACAGAATTAATTAGCCACCAAAGTTTACAAATGAGTATTAGATTTCTTTTCAAAAGTTTTGTTCCCCTCTAATGTTTACCAGATAATTCATTTATTATTACCTCAGGATGTAGAGTTTTTTTTACTTAGTGATTTTTGTATAATGTTTCTTTCCAAAAGAAATATAATAATAGCTGTGTGTAAAACGAGTAAAAGTACACATTCTATGAATAACATAGTCATTTTCAAGGCAATTGATGGTTTTCAACAGCCACAGATCAATATTTTGACTTGAAAATGGAGATGTAAGAAAAATACATTTTCCATTTAGCTCTTTGAACCTGATCAGAGCTTTGACTGTGAACCAGTTGTGGACATCGCAGTCACGGAGCAGAACCAATTTTTGGGCCCTCATTCAACTGCTGCTCAAATCCAAACATGTATTGACTGAGGAAAGAAAAGGCGAGGAAAGGAGAGTAGGGATCAGATCGGGTTGAGTTCCAACTTGAGTTTGTCTGAACCTGGAAGGAAGCTGTCAGTGCCAGCCCAGTCAGCTGCGGTTGGTGCATCCCCCCCCCCCCCCCCCCCGCACACAACAACACATTTATACAATGAAGAGTTTATTAATGTTTTTGCCTACGATTTACACACCTTTTATCCATAATTCACCTTTTTTTAACCAAGATTCAACGTTTCTCATTTACTCTTTCGCATTGACTTTCACCCATTTTTTAATGAGATTTACCCAACATTAACCTGTTGACAATTGCATCAAGCAAGATTTGCCCATGTGGGAATTTATTCAAACAAGATTCACCCACATCTGCTCTTTAATGGGAAAAGTGCACTATTTATATAATTTGCTACTTAGTGAATGTAAGTTTGTTCTGATATTTGCCCCTACATTTCTCCATTTTTGCACAGTATTCATCCTATTCCCTGGTTTGAAGTGTGTTAATGTGTATTTTAAACTGCTCCTTGCTTTGGAGTTGTGGATTTTTTCATCCATAGGAGTGCTCAAAAGAACCACCTAACCTCCTGATGTTGTGAGGCAAGAGTAGAGATTAGTTTATCCAACTGTCAATCTAGACCTGGTGGGACTAAGCAACCTGTTACTAAGAAATGTGCACATAGGGGTGGCTCCATGGAGATCACTCCAAGCCATGGGAGCCTTCCCATAGACAGAAGTGTGCCTTGCAAATATACCTTCTGCAGAATAGATGGCCCTGAGAAGAAAATTATGCAGAAGCAGCAGCAGCAAACAAAACATATATAATGTCTTATGGGTAAATTAAAACTGTAATGGCAGCAGATACTGATGGGGAAATCCCGGCTGAAACTTTGTGAGAATCTAGGGTAAATATTCCCTGGGCGAGACAGTGAATCTTTCATAAATACATCCCTTAGTTATTTTGCAATGAATTAAATGATGATCTTTTATACCTGCTTGGTTTGCCTTTAATATGTATCTGTATCTGGTTTAGTTTGGCATGACTTGTTCTTTAGAAATCAGTTATTATGCTCTATAATAAGGTATTTTACCCACAATGCATTTTAGATATTATCTCCACAAAGCCCTCAAATATTGTAACCATTACTGATTTTATTCTGAAGTCAGACTTTCAGATCTGATCCCCTACTGAGGCCTCATCTGGACTGTTTTCATTGCAGCAGACTTTTCCAGCTGTGATGAGGACACAGTAAATTGCAGCACATGTGTGCATTAAAGTGGACCTGTCAGCTCTTCCAAAATGTGTAATCTAACATTACTGTTAAAATGCAGGTACAGTACCTAGGGGTGTCTACTAATAATAGGTGCTTGTCTTCAGATCAGCATTCTGGACTCAACTTCTCTCCAGAGTGCTATTAACCCTACTCCCTGTGTTTTAGCTCTCAAATGAAAGAGCTTCTACTGATCACTTACTGGTCATTTCTTACTATGTAAGTTTATATTGTAGGCTCTGACTGATGCACATTGATT